TTAAACAAAACCAAAAACCTAAATTACAAAACCTGTATTATAAAAATTTAAAACCAATGATGAGTGGTTTAAATTGCATTTAACAGATAATTTCTTCAAAGGTGCAGAGAGAAAATTACCATTCTTGAGTTACATTAATGTAATCTTTTTTTACAGCTTTATTGAGATCTAGTTCACATACTATGAATTTCAGCCATTTAAAATGTACAATTCTATAGTTTTTAGTATAATTGCAGTAGTTCAACCATCACTGCAGTTTTGGAACACTTCATTTACCCCCAAAAGAAACCCTATAATCTTTAGCAATCATGCCTCATTCCCCCTTCATCCCCCCAGCCCTTGGCAACCACTAATCTTTGTCTGCATAGATTCGTCTATTCTGGGCATTTCACATAAATGGAATTATACAATATGTGGCCTTTTGTGATTAGCTTCTTTCCTTAGCATAATGTTTTCAAGGTTTATCATATTATGTGTCCTTTCTTCATTCCCTTTTGTTGAATAATACTCCATTGTTTGGCTATATGATATTTTATTTATCCATATATTAGTTGGTGGACATGCAGATTGTTTCCGCTTTTCGGTTATTATGAATAATGCTTCTATGAACATTGGTGTGTAAGTTTTTATGTAGACATAGATTTTTAATTTTCTTGGTATGTACTTAGGAGTAGCATTGCTGGATTATATGGTAGTTCCCTCTTGAGGAAATGCCAGACCATTTTCCAAAGGTGCTGTACCATCTTACATTCCTACGGAGGGTTACAGTTTTTCCACGTCCTTGTCAACACTTGTTATTATCCATCTCTTTTTCATAATAGCCATCCAGTGGGTGTGAAGTGATATCTCATTGTGGTTTTGATGTAGGTTTTCCTGATGGTTAATGATGAGCATCTTTTTGTGCATTCAGTTTACATTCGAATTCTCTCTGCTCTCTAACTACCCTGACCACTGCTTGCTTAGGCCCTCACCATCTCATTCCTGACCAGTTTGCATGCCTCCTTACTGGTCTTTCCATCTTCTGTTCCACTCCCTAAAATGCAATCTCAGACCTTATCACTTCCTGCCTAAAACGACAGAACCCACACTGCTGAATGTGGCATTCAAGGCCCTTCATGTTCTGTCTCCAACCTCTCTATGCCACATCTCTCTCTGTTCCCGGCTGTGCAGCTGGGCTATGCCTTTGCCCATGCTGTTGCCTCTGCTTGTCATTGCTTCTTGAAGTATCAACCTGATCAGCACTAACTTATCCTTTAAAACTTACCTCAACTAGAATCTCCTGAATCAAGTTAGACAGGACCCTCCTGCTGCTGCACAGCTCTAGGGGGTGCAGTTCTCATTGCAATTCATGTTAGGGGTTAGCAAAGTATGGCCACAGGCCAGATTCAGCCAACCACCTGTTTTCATATAGTGCGTGAACCAAAAATTGACATTTACATTTTGTAATAGTTGAAAATAATTAAAAAGTAGACTATTTAATGACACAATTTCAATGCCTATAAATAAAGTTTAACTGAATGCAGCCACTCTCATTTGTTTACGTATCATCTGTTGCTGCATTTGTGCTGTAATAGCAGAGTTGAGTAATTGCAACAGGGACAGTATAGCCCACAAAACATAAAATATGTACCATCTGGCCCTTTACAGAAAAAGTTTGCCAAACCCTGGTCTATGTGAATGGTGCCCTGGAGTCGTGCAGTATAAAAACTACATGGATGTGTTCAACAGCCCTGCTTCCAGGCTCCCCTGAAGCTGTCTTCATACCTTTACCCTAATATTTATCACATGGTATAATACTTGGTCTTCTTTACCCACAGACCTTGTGCTCCAAAACCTGAGGCTGGCCCTCTGAGTCTGGCTCCCCTTTGCATCCTTGGAGTATAGCCAGGATCTAGCACCAAGCAGGACCTCAGTAAATGTCTCCATTACTGCACTGAAGTCAATATTTCCAGGATACTGAAGACAAACTAATAAAACATTAAATAGTTCAGGATTAACATAATTCATAAAAATGATAGTAGCACTGCTGGCAAAATTCTAGAGCCATTGTTTCTGACTTTAAAAACATTCCACACTCCAGCATAACATGTGTGATTTGACCTTCTCTTCTCCCAGAGAAGTGCCAATTGGCGTATTTCAGAGAATCACATTAAAGTCCCCATGGTTGGTGTAAGATGCTGGGGATGCTGCAGCACGCCTTAACCAGCTGGAGATCCCAGACTGCATGGAGCTGAAAGCTAAGCCTCTGGAACATGGTTCCAATGAGGGTAGGTTAATGTGGAGAGTTTCACCTGGTGAAATCACAGAGCTCTCAGTGAAATGGAAGACTGGGCTTAGTTTTGAGAAGGAGGTACAATAAGAACTTTGAAGCTGTTATGCCCAAGAAATATTCTGGAATGCAGGTGAAAGGCATCAGCCAATATTGATCTCATACTTTTGTGCCAGACGCCACAGAAAGGAGGCATCTGGCCTTCCTCAGCTCATTCAGACTTTGAAAAATCCTATTTCTATTGAGGGCACAAACCCAGAGAGTTGACACCACTTGTCCATTATCTCTCAAGTGTAGGTCTCATGGATCCCCAGCCTGTATCTTTCTATCTACCATAGTGTCTTGCCAATGGGTTTCAGCCCCAGACAAGTTCACTATGGATTCAATGAGACTGAAAAATGACAATGAAACGTTCTTGGGGTGAAAAGGTTTACACTCAACTTTATTCCCATGGTGGCAGGTCAATCACTAGAATCCCGTCCACTCAGAGCGAGTCTGCATGCAACAAGCTGGTCTCTGCCTCTGGGCCTCTGTGCCCTCACAGCCGCCTCAGTCTCTGTCCTCAGCACTGCTACCACTCCAGTCTCTGCTCTCCTGCAGCCATGCAGTAGCCCAGAGCACTGGGCAGGGCTCTTTATATAGAGTCAATAACAACGTATTGCCCACACAAGTGTACTTAGCAACACGACCAGGGCCCGGTGGGAATCCTGGCCTCAGGGACTTCCCTTTCTCCACACGGAGACTCTTAATGAAATCACCGAGAGCTTGCTCTTTCAGCAAGGACTCCCCCAGGCCTTTTGTCATTCTTGGTTTCTTTTAGTTCTCTGAAATTTATTTATTTCCCTGGAGAAAAGTCCTAAGCTCTTAACATAAATTAGGCGGCCTTTCAAGAACTGTCCTGTGTCTCCCCCAACCATTATCATCTTCTTTCAGTCTCTCTACATCTCCCTCCATTGGGGTCTCCAGGGAAACTAAATAAAACTTTTAAAGAATAGTTAACACTTATTTGGTACTTGCCATGCTCTGGTCTAAACAACTTCACCTATACTGTCTCACATCCCATGAAGTAAGTGCAATTGTCGGTTCCATTTTATAGATGTGGGGACTGAGTACAGAGAGGTTAAATAACTCGCCTAGGGTCACACTGCCAGTAAATGGTAGAGTTGGAATCTGAACTCAGGTAGCCTAATTTGAGAAAGTATAAAGGTTTAACAAGTATGTTCTTCATCTCTTGCAAATGCCATTTTCTTTTTTTTTTTTAAATAGGCCATCCTCCATCTACCTCTAATCTTTGAACTTGCAGTTCCCTCTACCTAATACACTCTCCACGTTGCCTGGCCAATTCTACTCATTCTTGAGATCTCAGCTAAAATACCACTTCCTTTGGGAAGGCTCCCTGATTCCCTGGTCTGTTTACTTTTCAGCCATCACTTCTATTGCACCCTCTGTTTCCCCTCAAAAAAGGTACTTGTCACCCTTTTTACTGACGACAGCTGTTTGCAAGCCTGCCTCCCAGACAAGGCTGTAGGCTCTGTGAAGCCAGAAAGTAGGCTTTGGGAAAGTTGTTCCAGCTCTGACACTTGGCCTGACCCAAACTAGGCTCTTAATAGATATTTGTGGAATGAATACATTTGGCAGTGAACTTCTCAGCAAGACTTTTACCATGGATCAGCCTCAAGATAAAAACTCAGATCAGGGTTTCAGGCCACTTGTAAGATCTACAAGGGTGTGGGAGGCAGTACAAGAGGAAGGAGAAAAAGAAAGCAGTAGAGAGCAGAAGTCAGTATATTGTTGGTGGCACTCATAAAACTTCTCTTTTCCTCCACATCCATAAGTCATCAAGAATTGGTTGTATTCAATCTGCACATTTTTGGCACCAATCCAAACCACTGCATCTCACCCTCAACAACCTAACAGTTCCATTAGCCCGTGGTCAGCCCAGGTGCTCACTGACTGTCACGCCACGGAGTTACAGTAGACAGAGCAACGGCATTTGACTCAACTGCAGGTGAGGAGTGAGGAGGTAAGGATGGTGATTGGAATGATATGGCACCACTAGTATAAAAAGGAGGGGGGCCAGTTACCTCCATACGACTTGGCTCCTGGAAAGAAATAGGACATCTAGTAACAGTGTTTGCCCTGGGAGACCAAAGGACAGAGATGGGAGGGAGAAGTTCATTTTTCTTGCAGACTCTGTGGTATGTTGGGATTTTATTTTTCTACTATGGGCATGTATTGTCTATTTAAAAATAACTGAAATGTTGATTTTTAAAAATGAAAGTAAAATGAGTATTGGCAGACTTCCTAACTCAGTCGTGGCCTCTGCACTCAAAGCCTCTGAGGAGGCGGCCCTGGCTGATGGCCTGAGCACATATCAGAGGGTCGGCTAATTGGGCAGCACAGACTTGCAGCCTTTCCCCTCCTGACATTGCAGTTCCTACTGGTTCTTGGAATTTCAGGCCATCTCAGCTTTCCTCCAGTGACTCATGAAGGGTGTTTCCCAACGCCAGGATGTTTGCTAGCAATCCCAGGCATTGTTAGGGAAGAATGTCCCACTTTTAGATACCAGATGGCCAGTGAGACCACTTTGGTAACAGGGAACATGGGTATGGAGGGATTAGGAAGGACTCTAATTTTCTAGGGCTTTTCCCTTTGTTTTTAATTTTCCATACTAATTGAATTTTACAATGTATATGTTACTTCTGCAAACAGAAAAAATTAAAGGTATAAACAGTGCCTGACGAACTACCAGCTGCAGCCAGTGTGCCAAGGACCGATTCTGTGTCCTGCGGGGGAGGCCCCCACCCTTCAGAGGAGTAGCGGTCTGCCTGCATCCAGAGGACTCATGTATGGTACAGAAGCACAGCCAGGTTAAAAGGTGTTTAAGGCAAGAGGGAGCCATGGAGGGTTTTATGCTGGGGAGTATAGTCTCTGCTCTGCCACAAGCATTCTCATGTTGAATTATTCTCCAGCTTGCCCCGGGCGTATTGTAAGGTAAGCCTCTTGTGAACACTTCTTATATTCATTCCAAACTTTATTTTTCCCATTCCATTCTGAGCACACCACCTCCTACCTTCCCAGTATTTACCACCAATAAATAAATCCACCTGGTGCTCAAGCAAGACACTTAAAGTATATTTATTCTTCATTTTCTCTCTCTTCCTGATAACTAGTTCCCTAATGAGTAATGATTTCATTTCCCTAATGACCAATGGATTTCTTCTCTAGAACATTTCTCCTGTTCACCCTCTTCCCTCTACACTCAAACTATGACCAAAGCCCAGACCACCCTTCACCTGGGTCACTGCCTCTCGCTAGTCCCCTGATGCCCCTCTTGCCCCTCTCCAGTCCCTCTTGGACTTAGCTGCCAGAATGCTCTTGCTCAGGCACAAATCGGATCTAGATACTCACTTGCTTAAACTCTCTGATGGCTCCGCAACACACATAAGGTGAAATAGAAACTCTGCGATATGACCTACAGGTTGTCCCCAGCATCATCCCAAACCCATCTCCTACTGATTCCCCACATGCACTCCATTTTCCACATAATGTTCATTGGTAATTTCATGGTTTTCGTGCAATTGCATGTCTTTGCACATGCTTGTGCTCCTGGGATCTGGATTCCTTCATAGGAATCAGCTCCTTTTCTCTCCCACATCTTCTGCCCATTTATATCCACTTGACCCTATCAATACATACTAGTAGAAAAATCAAAATTTCAGTTCCTCACCAAACCCTCCCCTTTTCATTGACCAATTGATCAGGTCCACCTAAAGTTGATAAGTTATCTGGTTGATTTTTTAAAAATTAACTAGTTAAATTCAGAACTCAGCCAAATTGGGGAATATCATCTGCCAGCTCTTAAAGGGATCATGTAACAGTGCAGTGCCTTGGTGAAGCACTGAAGCACAACTTGGGAAGGCAGTTCCAACCTGACCTCCACTATCCTATGTCATGGCTACACAGCTACAACAACTACAAGAGCCCGTGTTGAGTAGTGTGAGAGGTGTTTGGTTTACAGCCCTTGTGATGAGAAGTGTGTAGGGCTAGGAATATAGTAATGCTGGTTAACTAACCCTCAGAGCAACATCTACCACCTACTTTCTCTGACAAGCTAATTTCCTTAGCCACAGTATATTTTTGTGCTCTTTATTCCTTAACCCAACTCTAGCATACACTGTTTTCACAATTACATGCATCATTCCATTCTGATGAACCCACATATAAAGACTGGTGGGCAAGATTAGCGTTTGGCATACCCCTGGGGGAAGCCAATTTTCTGAGGTAGGCCAAATCTCTTTGGTCACTAAATAACAATTTGTTTTTACTGGACAAATTGTATGAGGTGAAGGTTGTGCAATCACGTCCTTGTCCTGACTTAGCTACTTTTCTAGCAAACGTATTTCCATCATCAGAGGCTGTCTCCCATCTTGCTGAGGCAGTCACGTGTGTAGACATATGTCTGTAAGTAGTGTTTAGGAGGTGCAGAGGGATGTCACAAAATTCTCTTGTGAGTGCCAAGAAGAAGCAGGACTAGAGAGCCTGCCCTGAGAGCTCAAAGGGCAGACCCCACTTTCTGGGTGCTGAGCTCTGAGGAACCATCTCCAAGGAAACCACCTTGCTGACTGTTCAGGCTTCACAACACAGGAATGCTGGGCAGTAGCTGAGGGGGAAAGAGTGCACTCAGTTACCTTGCAGCCTTTTTTTAAGTATTACCCAAGTGGATGCACTGTGACCTCTGGCCTACTTCTGGTTTGTTATTGCCGTTAGGTATGTGGAGGGCGTAGCTGACTTATGAAAATGACTGATAAGCCCTCTGTCTTTGCATTGAGGTGCAGATTTGAGTCTTCTTTGGGTAGAATGGTGTGTGAGGTCAATTTAGAGTACGCCAGGCCATCTGGAATGTCTCTCCTAACAAGGTCCTCATAATTCCCACCTAATAAGCAGGTTTGTCTATTTGTTTTTGTAAAAAATGCAAAAAGAAAAACTCTTATTTCTTGCCCAATCTTAAAGGATCTCAAATTCATTTTTTTTTAATTATATATTAAATAAGGATTTGAGGAAATCAGAACCAATAACCACAGATGTTTCTCCAGCTCCAACATTTTAGAATTCCGTGAATCACAGAGATTTGTGGCACTCATAATGTTCTGCAAAGTACAATGAAGCTGACATACCGGAAGTATGACTTAAGAATTCACTAAAATTGAAAGATTGAACCTGTAACTTCCTTGAATTGATGCTCTGAAGTAGGAAGACAGGTGAAGGACTTCTGTTAATCCTTCTCTCCATAAACTTGGCATTTCACAGCAACCTCTCTCTGACTAGGGAAAGGGGAGCAAGTTTTCTAAGGTGAAGTCATTTCATTCACTCCCTGGCCTACAGTCCTGTTACCTGCCTTCCATATTTGCCTTTCTTTCATTCTGACGTGGCCCTCCAACATTTCACAAGGGTGACATTCTTCCACTCGTTACCCTTATATGACCTTCCTTCTCTACATAACAACTTGATTCCATACGCTCACAAATATCTACTCATCAATAACGAATATAGTCCAAATCTCTTAGGAATTCAGACCCAATCTGACTCCAACCTGTGTGACCAGAGGTAGCCCCCTTCTTCCCCAACACAGACTCACTGCCCAGAGCCCATGTCCCTGTGCCCCTCCAACGTGCTTGGGCCCCTGTGGGGGCTGTTTTTCTCACAGTTTCTTTGGTCCAGGTTAAATGCTGCCTTTGAGGTGTGCCCCCTACACTGAATCCCTGCCTCTTCTATAGCATGACTCACCTCTGCTTTTATTCAAACTATGTGTGCACAAGGCACTTTTTTCATGAGATGGTAAATTCCTTAAGAGTAGGGAATGAGATTTTTCTATTCCCCTAAGAGCTTATTATAGGTAAGAAAACAGTATTTTTATTTTGAGTGATTTAATTTTTAAAGAACTTCTCTTTGCTCTATAGCAGTCCAATTATTGATCACCTCCCATGCTTTTCCCACAGAAAACAAAGAAACTCGTCTCTTTATAAAACAGGGGAGGAAAAGGGACTAGTACCCAAAATGTTTAACACGCCCTACAGTTTTTTAAATTTGATATTGGAGCTTATTTTTGCCTTATAATGAGTTGTATTTTATTTTTAGTATTTAAAAGCTCTTAAATTATAAAATAAGTGATTTGTAAAAAATAACAAGTATGTAATGTGGGAACAAAAGTTCCCCTGACTCCAGGTTGCCCTGTCAGGTGTAAGGAAGGGAAGCCTTATGGTGCCGTCCAGTGTCATGGTCGTGGACAGTGATGTCAGCCAACACAAATGCACAAAAAGCTAGTGCAAGATGCCCGATGAACCTCCTCTTTTATTCCTTTTTTTAAATGATGATACAAAACTGGCAACATCTTAGTACCTCAAAGCTTACAAACATTGCAATGCTAATGGGGTTCCCTCACAGAGCTAAGACAGTTTCAAAATAAGTTCCCTGGCAATTTTATACTCCAGAAATAGTCTATATTTCAGGGTCACTGTAAGTCTGTTTCATTACAGACACTGGGAGCATGAGTGAAGTGAATCAAAGGTGAGTCACCTGAAGCCGACTTGGCTGTGGGTGTTAAGAACTGCAGGTTTGGGACTCTACCTTGCTTGTTATGCTGCCACAGTTTCATGGATGTCGGCAGAAGACATGAGACTCCTGAGTCAGACAAAGAACTCTCTTACAGTGCTAGCAGTAGCAGATATCAACATTTTCTTGTGTCACTTCCCCAAGTTCCCATTCCCACAGGATGACGTGAAGAGGGTCAAGGAACATGCACTCATAGCAGGTGGCATGACGGGACAGGAACCTTGTGTGTATTTAGAAATCCACATCTTTTATAATGGACAGTAAGTACATTTGCTCTTCCAAGGCTGTCAGCAAACCTGCTCTTTGCTCTGGAGCGGGGGAGACACTATCTCCATTTTCAAAAGCTGCCCGCTAAACAAACATCCTTGAAAAGAGTCCAGAACAAAGGCCCTTGCATCTCTGTTCTATTGAAGAGACCCACGGAACGTCCCCCCAAAGCAGGGTTCTACTTTTGCTGATGCCTTGGGGTAGTCAACAAAGATCAGAACAATAAATGGCAGCAAACTCAAATAAATCAAAATTCACTGTGAGTTCCTTGGTAGGACAAGGTGGTCAGAAAATAAATTAATAAGCAAACTAAAAGGGCACATTTAAGATATATCAAATAAGCTGAGGTCAAATTTATTCAGTCATGAGAAGACCTAGGTAAGAGAGTTAGGCGAGGGCCAGAGGGACATAGGGAGAAAGTTTGAGTTTTTATTCTGCTGTGGTGAGAAGGCATTGGAAGGTTCAAAGAAGGGTTCTGGGTTATGTAACAAAAATGGAAATACAGTGGCTCAGAAGCCCCTCCTTGTTCTAGTGTAACAGGCAGTGGATCAGCCATGTGAACAATGCAAACATTCAGCCAAAGCCAGTTAAAAACTAGTTTCCAGTAAGTCCTCACAGAGATGCAGAAAGCTGTAGCCTCATGCTGAAAGCGGATGGTGTCCTCTGCACTCCCAGACGTGCTTTCAGAAAACAGCTGAGGAACAGAATGAGTTGAACTAACATCAAATTTTCAACTCTGAGACAATGGGCTTTTTAAAGCTGATCTCTCTGGGTTATGGAGCATGCAAAGGTCTAGGGAAAAGACCCTCTGTGTCATCAAAAGGCAGCACTGTAGCCTAATAGATGTGACCATCTGGGTTCCCATCTCAGCCCAGCTGTGCAGCCCCTGACAAGTTCATCAACCCCTCTGGCTCTGTTCTGTCCTCTGCAAAGTGGGGATAACAACAGTGTCTATTTCATAGGGTTGTAATGTGGGTCATGGCTGCACGTGAAGAGCTCCGCACAGTGCCTCACCCTAAGGAGGGTTCAACTTGTATTTGCAGTCAAGTCAAGAGATGTAGTGGCCCAAAGATCAAGATTATTGGGGAACAAAGTCTGTGAAATGTAAATGCAAAGCACAGATGACTTCATCTGCCATTTCTATCAGGTTTGCAGGGGCTGTGACTGGTAATAGAAAGTGGTAAAGAAATAAAAGGCAATAAGGAGGCAGAGTGATATAAAGAAAGGGACTTTGAACCCAGACAGATCTCAGTGTGGAGACCAGTATATGCCTGCCTAACTGTAATAACCTCAGTTGGGGAAGTTACATTTCCTAAACCTTATTTCCTTGGTTATAAAAATGGAAGAAACAATTGATAAAATGGGGAAATCCTACCAAAGTTGTGAGGATTAAGTGAATTAATATGAAGCAACTGAGACATGGTAGATATACAGTAAATATTAATAACCTTAGAAGAGCTTTTTCTCTTCTGTACAGATTTTCTTCCACATAAAGAATAAAGCTGGGAAAGAGTTTCTAGGCCAGTACCTTCACTCCACAGATGGGAAAGTCCCCAAAGGAGTACTGCCTGGCCTGGGCCCTCAGAGGGCCAGGCTTACAGGTCTTTTCCAGCTCCCCCTGCCATTACTTTGTCCTATGTCCATGGGGCCCCTGTGACCCAGCTTCCCTGAGAACAGAGGATATCTGAGATCCCAGTGAGGGAATGAGTTGGAGAAACCTAATCTAGCTGGGAGTTTTGTCAGCTCCCCAGCTGGGGCTGTGTCAATTAGTTTAATGGACTCTTTTGTGCAGCCCCAGCCAGGGAGCAGAAAGGGACAGTATTTATTTACTTTTTTCTTTCACTACCTGGGGTTCACAAATGTGCATCCTTATATGCTTGCCCATCCCTGTTGCCATAACAAGGTCCCAAAGGGTGCCAGAAGCATAATGTCCTGCCTTGTTCCTTAAGACCCAGGAAAAAAATGTGACCACTTGACTCTTATACTTTTTTCAAGAAAAACAAACAAACAAACATTGTAGTTGACATAGTTTAAAGAATCACACAAAAATTTATTTGGAAGCTACTGAATGACTTGCTTAACAAGATGCCTACCTACCCTGGGCTTCTCCTTCATGTCTCAGCCCTGGATGCTATCTATCATGTCCAAGTTTTGCAATGCTTATCAAGCTGGCAAAGAGCATTTAGAAATCTTACAATTCCCCCTGCCCTCCCAACTCCAGTACCAAGTACAGGTTTAGTGACAAAGGTTCAGTTCTTCACTATATGAATATCTAACTTTCCTGGGCCAAAAATTTAGCAACTCACTGGGGATTGAACACCCCAAATACATTTTTATATAAATGTCCTGTATTTTCCACTAAATCTTATTCTATCAGGTAGAGGTGGGCAGAAGTAGTTTGCATTATTATTGAACAAAACACTTAAACCAGGTAGAGAAACAAAGCATTTTGTTCTGCCTGTGTTTAGAAAATCATTTTGTTTGGCATGTTTTGCCAGCAGAAAGAGGAATCAATAAATTGTCTACAAATTGGAGCCTTTTAAATTCTAGAATCTCTTATTAATGATCTCTGGTTTTCTATCTGTAGTCTGTTTTCATCCTATAACTTCCCTTGAAGGAGTCTACGAAGTGTGAACTCAAAGAGAACAAGAAATGGATGCACATTGAGGGAGCTGCCCAAGACAAAGCAAAGAAGAAGGAAATGGTCTTTGAAGGTAGTGTGAAGGTACCAGAGGGTTAAGTTGTTCGGGCACAGCCCTGCTCACATCACCACAAACTAAACTGAGACACTTTGCACATCACCAATTTATCTGAAATTAACTGTTAGGATTCTAGAATTAAGTCCTGTCTCCTATTCTCCATCCCACCTACCTTACTTCGTTCCTTCACTGAAAATTTTTCAATCACCTTTACTGTCTCCTGTGGGGAAAATGAGCACAGAGAAGTCACAGCCCATGTGTGCTTTAGTTAAGAGGGACAAGACTTGGAGACATCTAACAGAGAACACAAATGAGGGGGTGATGGCCACGTTGTGTTCCCACTGCCTGCTGAAGGGGATATTGGTCGAAGGTCAGTCACACCAGAGCTGGGAAATTCTGACAGAGCACTCTCCGGATTGTATCTTGTAAGAACGGAGGAGATGAATTGGAAGAGAGGTGGCCTGCCTGGTGGGGAAGGCAATGAGATATAAGGGAAGGAATAATCAGCTGAGAGTTAGGAGAACTTGGAGGTATATCCAAGCTGCCTTGAAGTGGTATCTGTATTTGGGGGTGGGAAGGCCCAGGGTCTTCAAAGACATTTTCTAGTGTTCATAATCTATGATTTGCCCATGACTCTGTGATGGGTCAGGAATACAGAGCTGTTCCTAATTTGTGTTACATCCTTTTATAGCCCAATGAGATTCCCGTTTTTCTCAAAATCTTTGTATGTGCCCTTCCATTTGCCGGGAGCTCAATTCTGTTGGATCAGCTCTGTTCAACAGAACTTTGTGGGATGATAGAAATGTTCTATCAGCTTGTGGAATCCAGTAGAGTGGCCACTAGCAAAATGTACTGCACACATGAAATGTGGCTAATGTGACTGAGGAATAGTTTAATTTTAATTAATTTAAATTTAAATAGGCAGTTCCGGCTCAAGACAGCAGCATGAGTAGGGCAGTGGAAATCTCCTCCCAAAACCACATATATTTCTGAAAATACAACAAATATAACTATTCCTAAGAGACCAGAGGATACAGTACAATAGCCAGGCTACATCTACACCTGTGAGAACCCAGCACATCACGAAGGGGGTAAGATACAAAGCCATGACCCGGCAGGATGCAAGCACTCCCCCAACCCCAGCTCCCCAGCAGGAGGAAAGGAGTCAAAGTGGGGAGGGAGTGGAAGCACAGGATGGCTAAATAACCAGCCCTAGTAATCTGCACCAGGAGAGCAGACACACATTGCACAGTGTGCTGGATATTAGAGAAATGGAAGGGTAGGGTCCAAGGCAGAGACTGTGAGCAGGTCCCCACAGCCAGCTCCCCTGAGACAAAAGAAAAGCGGGCACTCTTTATGAGTCTTAAAGGGATAAGGGCTCAACAGCTGAAGAAAATCGTCCCAGCACACACAGCCCCAGCAGGCTGGGAATCTTGAGGAACTTCGGGTCCCCTCACCCCCTGAGGGATAAAGCAGCCCCGAAGCCCATTGCAGTGATAGGTAGCCTGCCATTCGTTCCCCTGGCTGGTGCTGCAAGCAAACTGGCTGAACTGCCACAGCTGTGGAGCAGCCAGAAAGCAGTCCCACCCACAGCAGCTCAGGACAAGGACAGAGTATTAAAGGCAGACAGAGAGAAAAAAAAGATTACCTACAAAGGAAAACCAATCAGGCAATCATTAGACTTCTCAACAGAAACCTTACAGGCCAGAAGAGAATGGCATGATATATTTAATGCAATGAAACAGAAGGCCTTGAACCAAGAATACTGTATCCAGCACGATTATCATTTAAATTTGATGGAGGGATTAAACAATTCCCAGACAAGCAAAAGTTGAGGGAATTTGCCTCCCACAAACCACCTCTACAGGGTATTTTAAAGGGACTGCTCTAGATGGAAGCACTCCTAAGACTAAGTAGATGTCACCAGAGAAAATAAAATCACGGCAAAGAAAGCAGACCAACCAAATACTAACAAAAGGCAAAAAATAAGATCAACTATCCACAAAAATAGTCAAGGGAAACACAAAAGAGTATAGAATAGAACACCTAACATATAAAGAATGGAGAAGGAAGGATAAGAAGGGAGAGAAATAAAGAATCATCAGACTGTTTATAAAACCTTAATAAGAGAGTTAAGTTAGACGGTTAGATAGTAAAGAAGCTACCCTTGAGCCTTTGGTAACCATGAATCCAAAGCCTGAAATGGCAAGTACATATCTATCGATAATCACCCTAAATGTAAATGGACTGAATGCACCAATCTAAAGAGACAGAGTAATAGAATGGATAAAAAAGCAAGATCCATCTATATGCTCTTTACAAGCTTTTCCTCTAAAATTGGGAAGAAGACAGGGATGCCCACTCTCCCCACTGTTATTAAACATAGTTCTGGAGGTCTAATTAGACAAAACAAAGAAATACAAGGCATCCAGATTGGTAAAGAAGAAGTCAAACTGTCACTATTTGCAGATGACATGATACTGTACAGAAAATACCCTAAAGGCTCCACTCCAAAACTACTAGAACTAATATCTGAATTCAGCAAAGTTGCAGGATACAAAATTAATACACAGAAATCTGTTGCTTTCCTATACACTAACAATGAACTAGCAGAAAGAGAAATCAGGAAAACAATTCCATTCACAATGGCATCAAAAAGAATAAAATACCTAGGAATAAATCTAACCAAGGAAGTGAAAGACCTATACTCTGAAAACTACAAGACACTCCTAAGAGAAATTAAAGGGGACACTAACAAATGGAAATTCATCCCATGCTCTTGGTTGGGAAGAATAAATATTGTTAAAATGGCCATCCTGCCTAAAGCAATCTACAGATTCAATGCAATCCCTATCAAAATACCAACAGCCTTCTTCAAAGAAGTGGAACAAATAGTTCTAAAATTCATATGGAACCACCAAAGATCCCAAATAGCTGAAGCAATCCTGAGAAGGAATAAAGTTGGGTGGTAGATCTCGCTTCCCAACTTCAAGCTCTACTACAAAGCCATAGTAATCAAGATAATTTGGTACTGGCACAAGAACAGACCCACGGACCAGTGGAAAAGAATAGAGAGTCCAGATATTAACCCAAACATATATAGTCAATTAATATATGATAAAGGAGCCATGTATATACAACGGGGAAATGACAGTCTCTTCAACAGCTGGTGTTGGAAAAACTGGACAGCTACATGTAAAAGAATGAAACTGGATCATTGTCTAATCCCATACACAAAAGTAAATTTGAAATGGATCAAAGACCTGAATGTAAGTCATGAAACTGTAAAACTCTTAGAAAAAAACTTAGGCAAAAATCCCTTGGACATAAACATGAGCAACTTCTTCATGAACATATCCCCCCAGGCAAGGGAAACAAAAGCAAAGATGAACAAGTGGGACTATATCAAACTGAAAAGCTTCTGTACAGCAAAGGACACTATCAATAGAACAGAAAGACATCCTACATTATAGGAGAATATATTTGTAAATGACATATCCGATAAAGGATTTACATCCAAAATATATAAAGAACTCATGCACTTCAACAAACAAAAAGCAAATAAGCCAATTAAAAAATGGGCAGAGCATCTGAACAGACACTTTTCCAAAGAAGAAAATCAGATGGCCAACAGGCACATAAAAAGATGCTCCACATCGCTAGTCATCAGAGAAATGCAAATTAAAACCAGAGTGAGATATCACCTCACACCAGTTAGGATGGCCACCATCCAAAAGACAAACAACAACAAATGCTGGCGAGGATGTGGAGAAAGGGGAACACTCCTACGCTGCTGGTGGGAATGTAAATTAGTTCAATCACTGTGGAAAGCAGTATTGAGGTTCCTCAAAAAACTCAAAATAGAAATACCATTTGACCTGGGAATTCCACTCCTAGGAATTTATCCTAAGAATGCAGCAGCCCAGTTTGGAAAAGACAGATATACTCCTTTGTTTATTGCAGCACTATTTACAATAGCCCAGAAATGGAAGCAACTTAAGTGTCCATCAGTAGATGAATGGATAAAGAAGATGTGGTACATATACACAATGGAATATTATTCAGCCATAAAAAGAAAACAAATCCTACCATTTGCAACAATATGGATGGAGCTAGAGGGTATTATGCTCAGTGAAATAAGCCAGGCAGAAAAAGGCAATACCAAATGATTTCACTCATCTGTGGAGTATAAGAACAAAGAAAAAACTGAAGGAAAAAAACAGCAGCAGACTCACAGAACCCAAGAGTGGAGTAACAGTTACCAAAGGGAAAGGGACTGGGTAAGATGGGTGGGAAGGGAGGGACAGGGAGGAAAGGGGGCATTATGATTAGCAGACATAAAGTAGTTGGGGGGGCATGGGGATCGCTGTACAACACAAAGACAAGTAGTGATTCTACAGCATCTTACTACACTGATGTACAGTGACTGCAATGGGGTATGTGATAGGGACTTGATGATGGGGGGAGTTTAGTAACCATAATGTCCCTCATTTAATTGTAGATTAATGATATCAAAATAAAAAAATAAAAAAATTTAAATAGCCACATGTGGCCCCCATATTGGACAGCATGACCCTCGGTTTTCTCATGGCCAATGTTCAGATCTCAGTTCTCAATCACTTTCTCAGAGAAGCTATCTTAGGATTGCCACCTTCACTAGGCAGAAGAATGCCGCTCAAGAGACTCCCATGTATTAATCCCCAGAACCTGTGACTATGTTACAGTACAATGTAAATGGGAATTAAGGTTGCAGATGGAATTAAGTTGCTAATCAACTAACCCTGAAATGGGAAGGTTAACCTGGGTTTTCTGGGTGGGTACAACTTAATCACATGAGTGCTTAAAAGTAGACATAATTACAGAAGCAGTATGGGCTACAGAGATGAGATGGATGAAAAAAGAGGAAAGATTTAGTGTAAGAGGGAATCAACCCACTTCAAACCCACTGCTGCTTTGAAGATGAAGGAAGGGGGCCATAAGCCAAATAATTTGGATAGCCTCTAGCAGGTGGGAACTGCCCTCAGCTGACAGCCAGCAAAGAAACGGGGATCTCAGTCCTATAATGGCTAGGAACTGAAACCTGCTAACAGCCTGAATGAGCAAGGAAATGGATTCTCCCCTATAATTTCCAAAAGACATGCAGCCTGCTGACACTTTGATTTCACTCCTGAGATCCTCTAGACTTCTGGCCTCCAGAACTATACAAGCTAATAGATTCCTGTTGTTTTCAGCCACTAAGTTTGTGATGACTTCAGAAGTAATAGGAAACTGATAAACTACCTGTAATAGACCAATTCTGGCTCTCCTCTGTCTTTGGCCCACAGGTGTGAAGAGTCTAAGGGGCCAGAGAGAGCTACCCACCTGGAGCCCCCCATCCGGACCTCCCTTCACCTACCAGAAATCTCTAATGGGCGGACAGAACCTCAAGAGAACACCTAGTTAGGCATGTGTTTGGGAATGGGGTGAGCCAGAGCTGGGACATCACAGTATCCACATGGGCATATGTGAGACCCCTTGATGTGAGGGACAGAGTGGGGTGGGGGACGGGCAGGGCGAGGAGGAGGTCAGGAGGAGGGCTAAAGGGGGAACCAGCTCTCTTTGTGCTGTCATGCTCCAGTGTGGGATTCGGGGAAGGCTGCAGATTCTAAGTTCAAACCTGGTATTCCAGGTCCCAACGAGGGCATACTTGTACTTTTAAAATACTTAGCCCTATGCCTGTGGCCTCCATGCATGCTGTCAAGCTGGCCCCCACAATGAGAGGAGCAGCCTATTGCTTACTCCCCACCTATAGTAGCACCCCCACCCCCTTTCAGTCAATCTCCCCATCACCTACATTATTTTCTCCAGAACCCAGTGCTATCTGAAATTCTTTGTGTGCTTTCTTGCTTGTGTCATCTCTGCCTTTCCCCCCATTAAAATGTAAACTCCAGAGAACAGGTCTGCCTTGCTCAATGCTGTGTTGCCAACACCTGGATGGAGTAGGTGCATAACTGGTATTTATTAGATAAGAGGATAGGCAAATGCATTAAGGAGGAAGGGCCTTGTAGCTGGGCAGAGATGTTTGGAAATGGGGGTCTTTGTGTAACCTGTACCACCAGCTCTTCTTCACTCTGGGGAATTGGAATAGGAGTCCCTGAGGTCTTTTTTAGGTTTTAAATTTCTAAGATACTCTAGGAAAGCAGAAACCCTAGTGTTTCCTGGCTCAGAGGCTCTTATTGCTAACTTTATTAGTTATCTATTGATGTATATCAAGTTACCCCAAAATTAGTAACTTAAAACAGCAAACATAGATTATTGAACAGCTTCTGTGGTTCAGGAATTTAGGAGCAGCTCAGCTGGGTGGTTTTGATTCAGGGTCTCTCATGAGGTTGCAGTCAAGCTCTTGGCTGGGGCTGCCATCATCTGAAGGTTGGACTGGGGCTGGAGGAGCCATGGTGGCTCCTCATATGGTGTCTTCCTCATATGACTGCTGGCTGGAGGCTTTGGTTCCTTACCGGCTGTTGGTAACAACTTGCATGTGGACTTCTCTAGAGGGTCCCTTGAGTGTTTTCTTGACAAGGTGGCTGAACCTCCTAGAGTGAGTGATCCAAAAGAGAGAGAACAAAAAGGAAGGCAAAATGCCTTTTGTTGACATATTTTGGAGGTGACACACCATCGCTTTCATCTTATTTGTTAAAAAGGAGTTGCCAAGTCCCATTCACACTGTAGCATTGGGGGATTAAGCTCCACTTTTGAAAAGAAAGTACATTTGTGGATACATTTTTAGACCATTACACTGACCAGGACAGGCCTTACTTCCTTGCTCAGACTAATCTCCCTCCCTGCTCTCTTCACTTCACCTCTTACTTCTCTTGGATCTTGGAGCCTTTTACCATTTTCTCCCTATCTTGCCTCTTCTATTTTCTCTGGCCACTGTGCACAACTCTCCAGCATTCTTAAAAAGTCCCTTTTATTCCATGTCATTTCCCTTCTTAATTCTGTAATTGGCTCCCCACTAGGTCCCTGCCTCCCAACTGTTTTCTATCTCACTGCCCTGCTGGTTCTCTTTTCCCATCCTCTCTCTGAACACATACAATCCCTAATGCCCTTTGGTTCTCTGTACACTCTTGCCCTTGAAAATCTCATTGGCTTCTATGATTTTAGCTATCCGCTCTAGGTAGATGATACCCCAAAGCATCCTATTCATTCTTCCAAGTTCCATTCCCAAATGTCTTCCTGTCTGCTATATTTCTCCATCTGGATACCTCAGAGGACTGTGTACACTCAGCCTGCCATATCTTCATTTCACTTCAATAAGCCCATCATCTTCTCATCACCCAGAGGCAAAACCTGGGGCACTCTGACCCTTCCCTCTCGCATGTCCATTTCACTGCTAACTAAGCCCTTCGGATTTTCCCCCATCACAGTGTCACTGATCTACTATGACAGCCTATGAATTGGCCTCCCTGTCTCCAGGGTACATGGTCTAGTCCTTCCTTGCTCAGCATGCCTAGACTGATCTAGTACAGCAGGGCTCTGGGTGTGTGACTCTCCCTGCTCAAAAACTTTCAAGGGCTCCTCCTGGTCACAGACTTAGGAAGGAACTTTTCAGCATGGCATCCCAGTATGTGAGATTATGGTGCTTTTAACATTTAACTGGCAACAGGTTTACTATCCCAAGAGCTGAGATGAAATCCTGGATGTATCACTTGCTGCTGAAGTGACCCTAGGCAAGTTGCTTCACCTTTATGAGCCTGTGTTTTCTTATCTCCAAAAGGGGAATAGCATTATTTACAACACGGTGTCTTGAGAATTAAATGAGATAACATATATAAAGTACATTTCCTTATTCACATGAGCTGCATTGTGACTGCTGTCATTATCATCCTTAATAAAAGTACTTAGCAAAAAGTGCCTCTCACAATGTAGGTGCTCAATAAATCAGTGCCTTCCCAAAGTGTTACTTGAGTGTGTGCCTCTGGTGTTATTTTTATTTTTAAATTACTTGTTCCAGTTGCTTCTTATTTATGATGAGTAACAGAATTTCCAAATGCTTATGTTAATGTATATACTCCTTATCAGAGGTTGGCCAACTTTTTCTGTAAAGGACCAGGTAGTAAACATTTTAGGCTGGGTGGGCCATGTATGGTTTATGTCACGACAATTCAATTCTGTTTTTATAGCACAAAAGCAGTCATAGACTGTACATAAATGAGTGGGTATGGCTGTGTCCAAAACAACTACATTAATGGACACAAAAATTTGGATTTCACATGATTTTCACATGTCATGAAATCTTCTTTTGATTTTTTTTCTACCATTTGCAAATACAAAAACTATTCTTAGCTGGTGGTTCCTACACAAACAGATGGTGGGTTAGATTTGGTCTGTGGGGATATTTGCTGCCCCTGGTATAAAGTCATTAAATGTAAGGATAAAACAGTGAATTGATTTAAGAATAATATGACTTACAGACGAGTACAGATGATAGCAAATCTGGAGAATATTCTGACAGTGGTGAAAGAATAATCTAAGTCATGCAACACATCAATGTTTATTGCCCATAAAGCTCTACAATCTGGTTCAACCTAGCTGTTCAACTGTATATCCTCCAGGGCCCAGCCAAACTGGGCTTCTGTTTCCCCACACAGGTCCTCCACATTCTCCAGTCCCTCCATCTGGAATACCCTCTCTGAGTTATTTTTATTCACAATACTTCTGACACCAAATGTATGAGATTTTTCCACATCAACAACCAGTTCAACTTTCCAGACACCAGCTGGGTGTCCTACAGTTCAATTCAATTCTGCCACTACCTGGAGCCAGCATCAGACTCCATAGGTTTAAGGGCTTCATCCCACAAGGATGCCCTCACTTCAGATGCCTGTTGCTAGGATTGTTCATCAAAGTATCCACACTCATATCTGACTTGGCTACAAAATTGGAGGTTTCCACAACCCCCCTCTTTCAGGGCTGATAATTTGCTAAAACAGCTCTCAGAACTTAGGAAAGTGCTTTACTTACCATTACCAGTTTATTATAAAGGATATTATAAAGGATACAAAAGAACAGCCAGATGGAGAGGTATGTAGAGTAAGAGGAAGAAGGATCTGTAACACAGGAGCTTCTGCCAGGGATGAAGACCAAATATGTATTTCTTATTATACCATGATATAACATCTTCCCATTACACTCATTAAAATCATACTGTTTAAAGGCCACACTAAGTACCACCTCTGTTAAAAAACTCTGCAATTATTCCTTTCTCTCCCCACAAATGGCATTGTCCCTTCTCTTCGTGCCTTCTTCCCTCAATAATAGCTTGTTGGTCACTCCATTGTTGTATTAGAGTGATTTGGCTAATTATCTTACTTAAAACCAAGGTTCTCGAGGTCTAGGACCTTATCCAGCTAAGATCCTGTAGTGCCTGGTACATAGCAGGTATTCAGAAAGCATTTTTTGAATTTTGTTTCCTTTAATTGAAAAAGATTTGACAGTATTCTGGCCACGACATAATGGAGTGGAAGAGATTAGCTGGCCAAAATTCTAGTAAGTAGAGTGGACTTGTTGGGAGGCTGAGGAGGGGAAAGACTGCATGTGTGGGCAGGGCTGCCAGAGTCCGGTTTGCTCTGCAAGGTTGCATAACTCATCTCTATTGGTGAAACCTTTGGCAGAAGTGTATGAATAGAGAGAAAACAAGAGCTTCCTAGAACTTCTCATGCATCTGAGAGGCTAAGGAAAGAGCAGGTGAGATTCAACTGCTGATTCTCTCCAGGCCTCAGGAGAGCCGTGGTCTGGGAAGGGCCTCACGATACACATCATGCCCCAGTTCCGCGAAGTGAATCAGGCTCTGAAGCAATTGGCAACAGCCTTAATCACGAGCCACATCTCGCAAGTTCAGTACAGACAGGCTTTGTCATTTCTTTGAGGGAATCACTGCCATTTCTCTTGCAGGCCCAAAGCAGCATCCCTTGTCCCATCTAACCCTGATGAGAGGGCAATTTAAACTGCTCCGATTACCACGTTTCATTGGGTAAGGAGGACAGATTAAGCAACGGTGGCCCAAATAGCCTCGTGGTACACAAACGTTTTCAAAACCAGCGGAAGTCTTGCCAAAGTAAAGGATGTCAGGGTGAAATACTTGAGTATCAGTTTCCTTCTCTCTGGCAATGGAGAGAATTAATTAAATGCTTGTGAAGTGCTTTGAAAATTTAAGCTGTTAAGAATTATTGTCCTGTGTAATAGAGAAAAAATAGAATTGTTGGCCCATTAAAGCTGTAATGTTGTAAGCCTGAGTGCTTTTTTCAGGATATCTTTGAGAGCTACATTTTTATTGAAAGAAAGAACAAAAAAGAAGAGAAATGTGTCTGTGAATACACTTGCTGAGAGGTCAGCTGGGTTTATCAATTTTTCTGTTGATTAAGAAATGAACTTCCAGAAGCTGTTTCTTATTGATATTCAAAGCGACAGTTACTGAGAATAAACCATCGAATGTGTAGGGACAGTTTCACTAAAATATCAGCAGACAGGCACTTTCTTTCAATAAGGTCAAGGGACTAAAAGGCTGTGAGCTCGTATGCGTGTAAACACAGCTCAGTG